TATTGTGTATTTGTGTTGTATTTAGTCTAATTAATAGACAATGAGCCAGCTTATGATTAAGGCCCATATGTCTCTTAGATGCCTATTTTGTAAAGGGCACATTCCTCATGCCTATAAAGTCTAGAGGAATAGGCACAAAACCCTAGGTTGAATTGAGGCAGCCTTAGAATAGAGAAAGTAATTCTACGCTTTTCTCTCTCTCTAGAGGGAGAGCAGCACCCGCCCGTTCATACCATGTACAAAAACTCTATCATTTTGGATATTGAATGGAGCTTCACCTCTTATCTAATTTGTTCTATTATGTTGTTAGATTGTTGAAACAGGTTTAAAATTTGGTATAAGAGACGAGGCGCGAAATAGGTTGAAGTATCTGCGATGATTTTTGGGCTGCCATTGACGGAAAAGATTTGCGAAGAAGAAGACCTGCACAAATAGCTTCGCGCACGACATCTACGCGCGCACCAGCTTAGCGCATTTTCATTTTGAGCGAAGCAAGGATTTGGCGCATGACATCTACGCACAAACCAAGGATTTAGCACACCCCTGCCGATATGCTGATGCGTGAAGTAAACGAACCGCTAACCTTGTAACCATCATGCACGAAATGGAAAATTTGATGCGCAAACTTTATCTGATGCGGTAACAGGGCTGGAGCAGATGCGCTAACCATTGATCTGATACGCGAACTGCTGGAGCAGATGCGTTAACAGGTGGATGCGTGAAGCAACGGAACGATACGCGAACCAACGTGTTTTGAGATAAAAACACACTTGAGACCCGCCAAACTTTAATGCGTGAACCTAGGTGTTGTGCTAGGTTGGTGCGCCAAATTTTCTGGCTATCGTGTCCGCGGGACGCCCACGCAGAGGGAGTGCGAATTTTTGAATTTGAATGACAAGCCGGAAATCTCATGTGCGCGAGAGCTCCCCTCTTCTCTGTCTCCTTTTACTACTAAAGAAGGAGTGACTCATATATATAGGCTCAAAAAGTCTCTTGGAGTTTAGGTGTGGGATAAATTAACAAGCCTACTTCTTCCTTCACTTGGAAACGTACATTTTTTCCAACACCCACTTCAAGTGCTAATTTTTGGCTCATTTTCGACTGTGAGTTCCAAACTCCAAAACCGAAGGTCAACTCAAAGTTCAAAGCTTCCAAGAGTCAACCTTGAAAATTAAAAAAATATTAATTAATTTAAAAAAATATTAAAAAATAAAGTTACTTTACAAAATATATCTCAAGGTTGAAGACTATCATTAGTCAAGGTCAAAGCTACACTTCAAAGTCCAGAAACTTGCAGAATACCTTAATCAAACTTGCGTCAACGGTCCTTATTCAACCATCAACGATGGATGCCTCCCCGAGCTCATCAACATTGTGATCAATGTGTTGAATTTCTAAATGATGAACTCAGGGTAAATCGTCACGTGTGGTACTTGTACTGATTGCTCCGCACACATAGCGGGTATGAAGACGATATGTGAGCAATCAACTCGAGCACATTATTAAGGGAGTACTGGCATGTATACTCTCCACTGAGCATAAAGTTCATCAAATGCACACCTCAACACCAATACATGCCTAATGCATATTCTGAGGAGAAGTGTTTTATTTTCACTCCTCCCGGTTCCAAACAACGAAGAAAGCACATTCAAATGGGGAGTTATCAATCTTACTCTCCAGAAATACTTGCACATTCTGAGGGGGAGTTTCAACCCCCCCCCCCCCCCCCCCCCCGGCATCATACAATTATCAAAGCAAGGATTCTTTAAAGGATGCAAATTTCTAGGGGGAGTTTTCAATTGTCTCCTTCTCGATGCCAAACAATGACGATGCATGTCGAGTGCTCCAGTTGGGGGGGGGGGGGGGGAGCACAAAGTCAAAAGAAATAAAAGAGAAAAGAGAAAAGAGATCAATGAGAGATAAGTCTCAATGGCTTAGTAAGACTAACTAAGCCTACCCCATAGATAAGGGCGAGAGAGAGTGAGTGAGAGATGAACATTAAGAGAGTGGGGAAGCAGAAAGCTCAAGTGAGCAAGAGAACAATAATCAGTGGCAAGTCTGATACCTCAATCGCGCTATCAAACGAAAATTTACTCCCAGTCACTCAAATACTCCACAATCCTCATAGGTTCAGGACTGAATTTATTCAGATCCCGGGTAGAAATCGTCACATTTTGTCCAAACAGCGTATGCACATCCCTACCTTAGACTACTCATATATCTCCCAATAGACAGGTGATTAATCAAATTTCACGGGGGACCTCATCTCTCATTACCGTATCCTTCTGAGGCTAGTAATGCTGGCTACAGTGGCCCCCAGCCCCATGCCACTGAACTTTCATTGATCACGTCGTGTCTAGATACTCCACTCCTAAATGTTTTGAATTTTCTAGGACACAGACACGTTTTTAAAGTCAGTTGCTGGTCCTCATGACCCGCGAGAACAACCACAGTGACATCTACTATAGATGCCCCACGATGATTGATTGGAAGTCCTGTTAGAGATCTAACGTCTCTTATCATTATATACAAGCCACACATTAGTGTTTTTGCATTGATGTTGTGATAACGGAACACCACAGTGTCTTCGGTCCTTATCTTATCATTTTCTTTTATGTTTTATTTTATTTTACAGAATGAAAGAATAAAGGCATGACGTCTCGTTTCATCAGAACGTCATGAGGGGGGAGTGGTCCACGTGTTGTTTACTCTCAAAAATCATTCTTGGACATTTCTCTCCTCCAACTAAAAAATGACGACTCTACTTTCTCAGGTTTGTCAATTGCGAAGTCAGGTTCAAATCTAATGGTCAGCTGTGTTCACAAGTCAACCATCATTTTCTGTTGTGTCACCGATAACTGTTCCTCAAAAGCATTTACGATTGAATAGTCAGAAAGGCTACAGAGGTCGGATGATCAAATACCGAAGATGAATCATGTGTGCGCCTGAAACTCTTCAAGATCATTCATTATAGAGGCGCCATAGGAATTCATTCAAGCTGATCAAGAACAACTTCTAGAAAGCAAGGATTACTAGTAAGATTTTAAAGAAACCCTTAACCCCCGACATCAAAGATCAAATTGAAAGAATAACACCAAGGGGGAGATGGTAATGATTTCTTCAAGAAGACTTCCCACGAAGGCAAAGAAAGCTTAGCTGGACTGAAGATTCAACACAAAGACAAATATACCCGCGCTGCAATGCTGATTGAACATGATTGAACACCAAGGAAAAGATTGTTAGATATATTTTGTGGTTTTAAATCATGTTTTATTATTGTGTATTTGTGTTGTATTTATTCTAATTAATAAACAATGGGCCAACTTATGATCAAGCCCCACATGTCTCTTAGATGCCTGTTTTGTAAAGGGCCTCTTCCTCATGCCTATAAAGTCTAAAGGAATAGGCACAAAACTCGAAGTTGATTTGAGGCAGCCTTAGAATAGAGAAAGTAATTCTACGCTTCTCTCTCTCTAGAGGGAGAGCAGCGGTCGTTCATACCATGTACCAAAATTCTATATCATTTTGGGTATTGAATGGAGCTTCACCTCTTATCTATTCTATTCTATTATGTTGTTAGATTGTTGAAACATGTTTAACACGGACAACGGTATGGGGGTCCCTGTCTAGCCCGGTCAATGACCCGACAATCACTGTCTGGTCCCTTCAACAACCGGACGGTTCCTGTCTGATCTGGTCAATGACACTGCAGTCCCTATTCAGTCCGATCAAAGACCTAGATGTCTCTTTCTCGTCCGGTAAACGGCCCGGCGGTCCCTGCACGTCCAATCAATGACCCAGCGATCCATGTCCTGACAGGGTCCGGTCTACTATCCGGCGATCCCTGTCTGGTCTGGTCAATGCTCTGGCGGGCCCTATCAGTCTGATCCATGACCGAGCCGGTCTGGTAAACGACCAGGCAGTCTCTATCCGATTTGGTCGAGGACTCGACAGTTTGACCACCGTTTTTTGAATCATTTTTAAGGTGAAAAGTTTCATGAAAGTCGTTGGATCGCCAACCAATTCAATAGAGAAAAAGGAAAAGAATTAGTGGAGCTAGCCATTCTGATCGAATGGGACCGGTCGGTTCCACAATTTGGTAAAAAGATTGATTAACATGTTTTTAGATTTGAAAATGAAAATCTGGAAAATGAAAACAGAAAATTAGAGATATAAAAATTGGAAAATTAAAACAACAAATTGGAGAAAGGAAAATTGAAAAGGAAACTCTAAAACATTTTTGTTAGTAAAAGGGCCGTAGGTGTCTCCTATTTAGATTTATGTTGAATCTATGAAAATAATGGTGTTCTCAAACATTCAGTGGAGTTTAATAATCATGTACTTAATATATTTCCTCTTATTTTCTAATTTTTCTATGGTTTTTTTTATGAATTTCAAGATAAGCTTTAGCGGATTAAGAAATTTCTGAGTGTAACTATCTAAATTTTAGATACTAGTATTAATTTAAATACAGGAAAGATTACTATTACCCCCTCGAGGTTATATCACAATTATTAATGCAACCTTGCATTCTAAAAATCAATTAATTACCCTCTAAGTTTTGATCATTCTTGTTAGTTGCCCCTCACGTTAATATTTGTTTAATTGAATTTAACATAACTCTCAAATTCAACGGAAATTGTCTATAAACTTTACTTTGAAAGTAAAAATGATATTTTTTTTATCATGATTATAAATCATAGTTATTGATCATTGTCTTTCTGTGTAGCTGCTTGTGAAACAAATATTAATGAAAGTAGTTAACGGAAAAGACTCACGAGTAAATACTCATGTGAGACATCAAAGAAGGTTGTTTAAATTAATATTTCATCCGTTCTTTTGTAATGACAACATTTCCATTTTCACGCTTGCCAATGCACAACTTTATTTCATCCGATTGTCATTATACTTCATTCTCTTTTAGTAAAATAAAATTAAAAATCCGATTATGAAAATTTGTAATACGGCGAAATCAATAATATCTTTCAAAACAAAAAATTCACACATTCATAAATAAAATGTAATTAAAGAAGATCATGTGAATAACATAAAGTTTTCTACTTTTTCATGTTGCAACTAAAAAGAAACAGAGGAATGTGTTATGTCACGCCCCGGACCTACCGGACACGTCAACAACCCGCCGTACAGTACGAATAGTCAACCGCAGTCCAACTCATCCATACTATACTAGGCGTCTTGAATACCATTCACACATAGTACATCCATAAACAACATAATGTAAAATAATCATTTAAAGCAGCGGAAATGTTCAATACAAATGTACACGCCACACTTTGGCAACATGGGCATACAAGCCCTAAATACATATTAAAGAAAAATAATATCCATGAGCATGGTTTAAATCGTTTTCAAAACAGAAACAGAAGAAGCACGAACCACGTCTTCTTCTCTTGAATTCTCCGATACAACGGGCGGTAGCGGCAAGCTTTAATCCCGACCTGAAACTGTGAGGTGGCCTCCCCCGTGAAGGGGAGGTCAGTACTTGGAAGCATTTGACAAGTACAATGACAACTATACTAAGTATAATCAAAGTTTCAATTTCCAAGACCCTCAACTTAGGATGTTACTATTTGAAATTAATTTATGTTCCTTCATGCTAGAGCTCGGCTCATAGTCATGTTAATTTGTGCTAGAGCTCGGCTCATAGTCACACCACATTTCGCTAGAGCTCGGCTCATAGTCATTCCTACATTTTTGTGCTAGAGCTCGGCTCATAGTCACACCACATTTCGCTAGAGCTCGGCTCATAGTCATTCCTACATTTTTGTGCTAGAGCCCGGCTCATAGTCACACTACATTTTGCTAGAGCTCGGCTCATAGTCATTCCTACATTTTTGCTAGAGCTCGGCTCATAGTCATACTACCACGTGCTAGAGCTCGGCTCGTAGTCACGTCATCTAATCCTTAAACCACTTCTTAGTCTAGGCTCCATTCCTTTTGAGTAACCCTTGAGGTCTACTCCTAACATAACTTGACTTCGTAAAGTCCACCCTAATTATCCTTTAAGGTTACTTAGCTTCAATATCTTGGGATTAGCTCCCAATCACTATTGAACTAACATCCCCGACTAGTCTTCAATATTAGTCGTCTAATCTTAATAAGCCAACGCCAATTTCATAATAATTCATACATTTCAATTTAATTTCACATTCAAGTATAACTTGATTCAATATCAAAATATCACTTTTATTCCCTTCATGAGGTAAAAGCATATTTATCACCATACAATTTTATAACTTACACCACAATTGGGTCATTATAATCACCACACATAATCATACACAATTTATTCTTAAATTTGTATATTATGCATTTTTCTTTATGAACAATACTATATCCCATTTTAGGCATTCTTAATCATAAATAACTCATGCCAAACACATATAATTCATTTAGGCAATCTTATGAAATTAACCCAATAATTATAAACAATATAGTCGGTCATCCTCACCTTAAGTGAGCTTAAGCGCGTTCTACGCTTCCCGGTTGAACTTTGGCGGACTTTGACCAACTCCGGCCAACTTTGACCAACTCCGGCGAAACTCCGGCGAAACTCCGGTGAGGCTCAAAATACTCTATATCAAGTTCCTAACAAGGTTTCAACATCATAAAACCTTAATCAATACAAATAACCCCTAAAAGGTTATTTTCCGGTGAACTTGCCGGTTTGGCTTCTAAATCCGTTCTTGGACTTAGAACCACTCTCCAACCCATTATTCTACACTTAAATTATGTAGAACAACCCTCAAGGTTCTCCATATGATATATATCTCATATGATAGAAGAAAAATAGAGGAGAAGTTATGATAAGGTTATTACCTTAATTTTCACACTTTTTCCTAGTTTTCTCCTTCTTTAATCTTCCTCCTTGGGACTCCTTTGCTTGAGCTCGAATTTGCTATGGGGGATGGTGGTTTGCAGAGGTTTCTTCTCTCCTTGGTGTGTCTTGGCCGAGCTCAATGAGTGGGAGAGGAGGGGGATGGTTTCTTTTGTCTTTCTTTGCAAATGAGTAAGGAAATGGGGGTCCACTAGATGTCAAATGTGTTCCTCCCATCCCTTCACTTGTCCTCCAGCCCTCCTAGCACTCAATCAGCCCCCTTTGGTTGACAATTTCGTGGGGTGGCCCCCACCCATGTGGGAGGTCATCCCAATCCGTCCCGAAGTGTACAATCAGTCCCGAAAGTTGTATTTTTCGGACTGTTTTAAATATATTTTATTTTACCGGGTCAAATAAAATATATTACGTGTTCTCGATCAATATAACCCTTATAGTGAATATACATTCCCCAACTTTTAATTTATAGGTCTCAGAAATTCATTTCTGGCTTTTATCTGTTAAATTACCAGTACCGGTATTTTGGCCTTTTTGATCAACCGGTCAACTCCATATCATTTCTTTGGACCAATAGGTTATCCACCCCTATATAAATATTATATTGACCAAGATGAATAAAATATACGGTCTCGGGAATATCGGGCGGCCCCCGCTCCCGGTGTGGGCCCCACGTGCGAATTTACTATTCATGCAAAATAATTAATGAAAATTCACCACTTCATATTCTCATTAACTATTATACAAGGTTCAATATATTATTCACTTAAAAGTAAATACATTTGGGGACGGTGTTACAAGTTCACCCCCCCTTATTTGGGATTTCGTCCCCGAAATCCACGTGTCTAATCGAAAAGAAACGGGTATTGCTCCCTCATTGAGACCTCCGTCTCCCAGGTTTCTTCTTCGACTCGATCACTCCTCCAAAGAACCTTCACCATTGGAATCTCCTTGTTCCTCAATTTCTTCACTTGTTGTCCGACAATCTCCACCGGTTCTACTGCATATTGTAGATCTTCACGTATCTCTACCGGTGGCTTCTCAAGAATATGAGATGGATCTCTCACGTATTTCTTGAGCATCGATACGTGAAACACGTCGTGTATCTTCTCAAGTTCTGGCGTCAACTTCAGACGGTATGCCACGGCCCCTATCCTTTCAAGGATTTCAAATGGGCCAATGTATCGGGGGTTGAGTTTTCCCCTCGATATAAATCGGATGATACCCTTCCAAGGGGAAATCCTTAGAAAGACCTTATCACCGACCTCGAACTCCAATGGCCTTCGTCGTTTGTCGGCATAACTCTTCTGCCGATCTTGGGCTGCCTTGAGTCTATCCTGAATGACTTTCACCTTAGCCTTGGTGATTTCAACAAGTTCAATCCCTTCGAGCTTGGCCTCGCCAACCTCGTCCCAACACAACGGTGTCCTGCATTTCCTCCCATACAATGCCTCATATGGAGGCATGCCAATACTCGCCTGATAGCTATTGTTATAGGCGAACTCTACTAGAGCCAAATGTTTGTCCCAACTCCCCTGGAACTCCAAAGCACATGCCCTAAGCATGTCCTCTAAAATTTGTATCACCCTCTCGGATTGCCCATCCGTCTGTGGATGAAAAGCTGTGCTAAACTTCAGTTTAGTACCCAAAGATGCTTGAAATTTGGGCCAAAATCGAGATGTGAATCGTGGATCCCTATCCGAGACAATGGATATCGGGACTCCATGTAGTCTCACAATCTCCTCTGTGTATAGCTTTGCCAATCTCTCAAGAGGATAAGTGATGTTGATAGGCAAAAAGTGTGCACTCTTGGTGAGCCTATCAACCACTACCCATACTGCATCATAGTTGTTCACTGTTCGTGGTAGCCCCACCACGAAGTCCATGGTCACGTGCTCCCACTTCCATTCTGGAATGGTTAGTGGCTGCAAAAGCCCCGCCGGGTGCTGATGCTCTGCCTTAACTTGTTGGCAAGTAAGGCATCGACTCACGTACTCTGCGATATCCCTCTTCATACCCGACCACCAGTAACTTTCCTTCAAGTCTCGGTACATTTTAGTGCCTCCTGGATGCATAGCATATGCCGAAGAGTGAGCCTCCTCCAGGATAGACTTTTGGAGCTCTTCACTCTTTGGTATGCACACACGGTCTTTAAACAATAAAAGACCGTCATCACGTACCCGAAAGTTCTCCACGGGCCCTTCGAGGATCCTCTCGCGGATCTTCTGGCATTCATCATCAGTGGCCTGACATCTACTGATCTCACTCAGCAATGTGGGCCTAACCTCGAATCTAGCAATGAGGACCCCACTCGTGGACATCTCCACTTGTGCCCTCAAAGTTCTTAGACATGTGAGTAATGTCCCCGACGTACTTTTCCTGCTCAGTGCATCGGCCACTACATTGGCTTTTCCGGGATGATAGTCGATGATCAAGTCATAATCCTTGATCAACTCCATCCATCTCCTTTGTCTCATGTTCAACTCTTTCTGAGTGAATACGTACTTCAAGCTCTTATGATCGGTAAAAATGTGACATGTCTCCCCATAGAGGTAATGTCTCCAAATCTTTAGTGCAAACACTACCGCCCCCAACTCTAGATCGTGGGTAGGGTAGTTCGCCTCGTGTTTCTTCAATTGCCTAGAAGCATAGGCAATCACCCGACCGTTTTGCATCAGTACACATCCAAGCCCTTGGACGCTAGCATCACTGTAGATATCATACCCTATCCCCTGTATAGGTAGGGCTAGTACTGGTGCTTCGGTAAGTCGTTTCTTCAGTTCAAGGAACCCTTTCTCACACTTGTCGTCCCATATGAACTTGGCTCCTTTCTTTGTGAGCTTCGTTAATGGAGACGCCAATACGGAGAATTTTTCCACAAATTTACGATAGTATCCCGCTAAGCCAAGGAAACTACGTATCTCTTTCACATTCTTGGGTCTCTCCCAATCCATAATAGCTTTTATCTTGGCGTTATCCACAGCTACGCCCGAACCGGATATGACGTGACCGAGAAAACCAATCTCCTTGAGCCAAAATTCGCATTTAGAGAACTTGGCAAAGAGTTGCTTTTCCCTTAGCCGATCAAGTATAAGCCCCAAATGATGCTCGTGCTCCTCCTCACTCTTGGAGTATATCAAGATATCATCAATGAATACTATCACAAATTGATCTAAGTATTCACTAAACACCCGGTTCATCAAGTCCATGAATGCTGCCGGTGCGTTGGTTAAACCAAACGACATCACAAGGAACTCGTAATGACCATACCTAGTGCGGAATGCACTCTTAGGTATGTCGCTCTCCTTGATCTTCAACTGATGATACCCCGACCTCAAATCAATCTTCGAGAACACTATTGCCCCCCGAAGTTGATCAAACAAGTCATCAATCCTCGGTAAGGGATACCTGTTCTTGATTGTGACCTTGTTCAATTGTCGGTAGTCAATACACATTCTTAGTGTACCATCCTTCTTCTTCACGAAGAGTACGGGTGCCCCCCACGGTGAATGGCTAGGTCTGATGAATCCGTTGTCCAATAATTCTTGCAGTTGGACCTTCAACTCTTGAAGTTCGGCCGGTGCCATTCGATAAGGAGGAATCGAAATGGGTTTGGTTCCCGGCTCCACTTCAATTACAAACTCTATCTCTCTATCGGGTGGAAGCCCCGGTAGGTCTTTGGGGAAGACATCCGGGTACTTGCACACGACCCGTACATCTTTGATGTCGACTTCCTTCTTGGTATCGTCCACCACGTAGGCAAGGTACGCGTGGCATCCCTTTCTCATCATCTTCCGTGCTCTCATCACGGATATGATACAAGCATTAGATTTCCCCCGATCTCCCTCTAAACGTAGCATATTCCCTTGACCATCCTCAAGCTCCAACACCTTGGTGTAGCAATCTACTCGAGCATGGTGCTTCTCGAGCCAATCCATTCCTAGGATTGCATCGAACTCCAACATGCTTAGAGGTACGAAATCGCAAGTCAAAGGTTGACCCGTCACTTCTACCTCACACGACGGATAGTAATGATTTCTCTCCACGTCGTCTCCCAACGGTGTGGAGACTAACAATGTTTGAGTCATAGGTGTCAATGGCACGTCAAGGCCCTCGGCGAACGCCTCACTCACGAATGAGCGTTGTGCCCCGGTATCGATGAGGATCCTCGCACACCTACCATTGATCTTTAATGTTCCTACATTTATACACATGTAAGATACATTTTCTAATGTTTTAACACATCTTTAGGAGGTTATTAGGCTCATACTAATGTTTGGAATCAAACGGGGGTCCAAACGTAGAAGAACGGGGCGAAAAAATCAAGTTTCGGGTGCTGGGGGTCCACGCACGGCGTGCCTGGGTGGCACGCACGGTCGTGCGTGCGTGAGAAACTCGGAATCCGCCACTGCCGGCTACGCACGATCGTGCGTAGCTGGTCACGCACGATCGTGCGTCCCACGCACGGCGTGCCTTACCTGCACGCACGGCGTGCGTCTGCGCGGAAAATGACCAGAGGCTACTGCCTCGCACGCACGGTCGTGCGTCTGTAGGTACGCGCGATCGCGCGTAGTTGTTTTTAGCCCGTTTCGCCCCGAATTCGCGGGGTTTGACCCCGGGGTGGCCCGCACCCAAACCCAATGACTCGTATGACCCAAATAAGCCTAGAAATACATGGGAATACGTGTATTACCTGCAACGGAGTCGGGATTGGCCCGAGCATCGGCCTCGGTCATTGCGTAGACTCTAGCTTGCGTCCTTCCTTGATTCACGGACGGCGCGTTGCTGGCGCTCGCTCCCCCCTGCCCCGTACTAGCATGGGGTGCTCCGGTCCGACTCCTACTTGCCGTAGTAGCGCCGCTTGATCCCGCCCCTCGGTTTCCACCAAGTTGAGGGCAATTTGGTTTAAGATGCCCCGTGTCTCCACATTGGTAGCACCGAGGAGGGTCACGACACTTACCGGCGTGGCTCCTGTTGCAATTTCGGCACCTGGGCGCTGTCGAGGCTTGTGAGCCCGAGTTGTGCCCGCCGAAAGCCGAGTTTCCCTTGGATGGCGGCGCCGGTGCCCTGAACGATCCTCCTCCCCCGTGGTTCCCCTTTTTGTTAGAACCTTGTGGGCCATGGCTTTCCCACTTCCTCTTCTTCGCCTCCTCGGCGTTCCTCCGCTTTCTTTCCTCCCACTCTTTCTCCCCCTTCAGGCCCTGTTCAACCACTTGACTAAACGTCATATTAGGCAATTGTGTTGCCCTCTCGCGTATGTCAAGGTCTAAGGCATCCCAGAAGTGGTTCACCATCCGGTTCTCATCACATATGTACTCCGGTATGAATTCGGCAAGCTTTCTGAACTTGTGCTCAAGTTCCTTCACCGTACATGCGCCTCCCTGTGTCAAGTTCGTATACTCCCTCCTCTTCATGTTTACCTCGAAGTCGGAGTAGTATTGGTTGAAGAACTCCTGCCGAAAGTTCTCCCATGTGACGGCTTCGCCGTATTTTCCTTTGACCCCGTCCCACCACGTGGACGCCATGCCTTCGAGCAATCTTGTTGCCACCCTCAATTTCATGATGGGTGGCAGCTGCATGTCAAGGGCCGCCTCGTTGAATCTTTTGATCCATTCGGCTGCAACGGAGATGTCTCCCGTTCCATCAAACGGTTTACATCCCAAATCTCATGCTTCTTTGATAAATTTGGAGATCCTTATGGTTGGACCTCCCACATCTTGGCCTCCATGTGGTTCAACATGGACTCTAGAAGCACCTTGGCTTCCTCCTCTCGAAGCCATGCCCGAAGGTTGCCCCGTTCGGCGCCTTCGGCGTTGTCTCCTCTCTTCGCGCTCCCGGTGGTATTGTTGGAGCAGCGCCTCGATCCTCCCAAGAGTGCCATCGTCTTCACTCTCTTCACTCACATCGTCATCTTCCCCATCATATGGGGTTTCCACCGGCTCGGTTTCCGGCCTATAGGTTGAGTCCTCATAGGACCAATAAGTCTCACTCTCGGTGTCCACGTGGCCATCGCTCACGGTTTGTTGTTGGCCTCCACGGCCCCTTCCCCTGGACACCCTAGTGGACCCCCGGCTGCCGCGTTCGGACCCACCCGGTACACGGCCCGTCGGGTTCCTCCTAGTGATCCTTCCAATTGGCTCCATTTCTGAAAGAAGTTTAGAATGGGCCGTTAGACTCGTATCAAATGTCAAGTGACGGATAGGTACTTAAGGACATCTTTTGGCTCAAATCACCGCCATGCCAATTGTTAAGGGTACCATCTTAACAATTAGAGACTTTGCAACTCAAGTACCAAAAGTTCTATAAGTACAAAACTTTATGCTCATGGTTTTCAAATTCTTTTTCAAAAGGAATTTTGAAGCTTCATTATGAAGTTTACGGACTAAGGCTCTGATACCAATTAAATTGTCACGCCCCGGACCTACCGGACACGTCAACAACCCGCCGTACAGTACGAATAGTCAACCGCAGTCCAACTCATCCATACTATACTAGGCGTCTTGAATACCATTCACACATAGTACATCCATAAACAACATAATGTAAAATAATCATTTAAAGCAGCGGAAATGTTCAATACAAATGTACACGCCACACTTTGGCAACATGGGCATACAAGCCCTAAATACATATTAAAGAAAAATAATATCCATGAGCATGGTTTAAATCGTTTTCAAAACAGAAACAGAAGAAGCACGAACCACGTCTTCTTCTCTTGAATTCTCCGATACAACGGGCGGTAGCGGCAAGCTTTAATCCCGACCTGAAACTGTGAGGTGGCCTCCCCCGTGAAGGGGAGGTCAGTACTTGGAAGCATTTGACAAGTACAATGACAACTATACTAAGTATAATCAAAGTTTCAATTTCCAAGACCCTCAACTTAGGATGTTACTATTTGAAATTAATTTATGTTCCTTCATGCTAGAGCTCGGCTCATAGTCATGTTAATTTGTGCTAGAGCTCGGCTCATAGTCACACCACATTTCGCTAGAGCTCGGCTCATAGTCATTCCTACATTTTTGTGCTAGAGCTCGGCTCATAGTCACACCACATTTCGCTAGAGCTCGGCTCATAGTCATTCCTACATTTTTGTGCTAGAGCCCGGCTCATAGTCACACTACATTTTGCTAGAGCT